AAAAAATAAAATAATACAAAAATTGAAATACATTAAAAAACATTCAGCAAAATAAAACATTTTTATATAGTTACTTAAAAAAAAAGAGAACAGGTTTGAGGCATTGAACACCAATGATCGAAGATCAGATGAGTTGTGGGGTGATATAAGAATATCATCCATGAAGAAAGTGAAAGATCATTACAAAACCAGAGGAGAAAGAAAAAACCAAAACGGATGTCAGAAGAGACTCTGAAGTTAGCACCAGAAAGTCGAGAAGCCAAATCTAAAGAAAACATGTCGAAGTGAAAGAGTTGAACAGACAGTTTCTAAGGGCAACTCGGGAGGACAAATAAAAATATTATAGTGAAATATGCAGAGAGCTGGGATTGGAGAATAAAAAGGGAGGATCTCACTCCGCGTTCCTCCAACTGAAAGAAGTGAAAAACGGATTTAATCCCCGTGTCACAGGGAGGAAAATGAACATGGAGGAAACACACAGAATCACTGTATCAGAAAAACGTGACTGACACTGAAGAATTTCAGGAAGTACCATATGAACAGGAGCCAAAGGTAATGAAGGAGGAAGAGGAAGCTGCATTGAAGGGATTGGCACAAAATAAGACCCCAGGAATCGATGCGATACCAACTGACTTGTTTCAATTAACAGATGCAGCCTTGGATGCGCTCACCAGTCTATGCCAGGAAATGTGGAGGACAGCTGTCTGGCCAAAAGACTGAAAGAAGTCTTTACCTGTTCCCCTTCCAAAGAAAGGTGATCCAACTGAATGTGGAAACTATCAAATAATATCATTGATATCACCTGCAAGCAAAATACTGCTGAAGATCATTCAAAAACAGCTGGAACAGTACAATAGGTAGGGAACTGCCAGAAGTTCAAGCAGGATTTAGAAGAGGCTGTGGTACCAGGGATATCATTGCTGATGTTAGATAGAACCTGGCTGAAAGTAAGGAATACCAGAAGAATGTGTGTTTATGCTTTATTGATTATGCAAAGGCATTTGACTGTGTGGATCTTAACAAGCTGTGGCTGACACTAAGAATGAGAATCTCAGAGCACTTGATTGTGCTCATGTGGAACCTCTACCTGGACCAGGAGGCAACTGTGCAAATAGAGCAGGGGAGCTCGCATGGTTTAAAACTGTGAAGGAAGGGAGTTATGGGAGCCTAGTGGTAAGAAGTTGTGCTGCAATCCCGAAGGTGCACGGTTTGAATCCACCAGATGCTCTAGTGCAGAAGGAGGGGCAATCTCCTCCTGTGTCAGTTGGATTAGATTTGACAGTACACAAGGAAAACAAATAAAATTGGGAAGGGAGTGCATCAGGGTTGTAGTTTCTCTCCATACTTATTCAATCTGTATGCTGAGCACATTATTCAAGAAGCTGGACTCTGTGAAGAGGAGTGTGGCATCAGGGTTGCAGGAAGACTCATCAATAACCTGTGTTACACAGATGTCACAACCTTGCTTGCTGAAAGTGAGGAGGACTTGAAGCACTTGTTGCAGAAGATCAAGAAATGCAGCCTTAGGTATGGATTACATCTTAATATCAAGAAAACAAGGATTACTACCACTGGACCGATGGGCAGCATCATGATGGATGGAGAGGAGAGTGAAACTGTCTACAGCTTCATCTTGCTTGGATCCACAATTAACACCCTTGGTACCAGCAGTCAGGAAATAAGGAGACACAGTGCACTGGAAAAATTGGCAATTAGGGACCTCTCCAAATTATGGAGGAGTAAGGATGTCAGTTTGAGGACTAAGGTGCATCTGATTCAGGTCATGGTCTTTCTGATTACATGCTCTGTATCTGAGACCTGGACAATGAATAAGGATGATGGAAAAATTGACACCTTTGAGCTGTGGTGTTGGGGAAGAGCACTGAACATCCCATGGACGGCCAAGAGAACAAACATGTCTTGGAAGGGTGCAGCTGGAGGGCTCTTTGGAGGCGGGAATGATGAGACTCTGCCTCACATATTTTGGGCCTGTTGCTAGGAGGGGCTGTTCCTTGGAGAAGGACAGGATGCTGAGAAGGGTGGAGGGTCGGCGAAGATGCTTCTCAGAAGTGAGGACTGTGGGACCAGGGCAGAGTGAGGAGGCCGTTCTCGCTGTTGTCCTCCCACCATCAGATGAGCACGCACTGAAGCAGAGATACGTGCCCAGTACGCCACCCCATCTTGCCCAGTGGCCTTCTGCAGGACATGTGGAGAGGTCATTCCGCTAAGGTCCGTTAGGCTGGGATGTGTCTTCTTGGTGCTGATGCAGCCCGCTTTCTGATTTCCCTCCATCCAATCACATGCACTCTGATGGTCTGCCACGTGTTTCTAGTGGAAGGGGTTCCTTCGCCCTTCTGTCCCCTTCACATTTGGTGTCCCTTCTTACCTCCCGGTACTTGGCTTCCGTCGGCATCTGGGATGTGTGGAGGCACAGCACAGTCTCCTGTCCTCTGGGGTCCTGAATGTGGACCACTAACAACTGGGGGTTCACCACTTCACCCACAGTCAGCGCTGAGGGAGCCCTAGAATGCAGGGTTACACGGGGAGGCCAACAGACACGCCGACCTTCAACCCTCTCATGCCTACACTACTTTCCCTCTGACTTATTTTCTGATGCTCAGGGAGCTGCAAGGCTGGGGGCCACACACGCGATGCAGAGGGCTCTGCCTCCTCCTGGGACGTGGAAGCTCTGAGCTGAGACCCCTCCCTCACCTCACCTTATGCTTGTTTTTATTTATATCCTCGCTTGACTAATAAAGCAGTCTGTCGTGGTATGGCCTCCTCTCCCAGAACATTTATAAACCCACAAGTTTATAAACCAGCAAGTCAGTCTGGCTGGTTTGTGCTTAAGGAAACAACAGCCCGAGTATCCTTCTACCTTGTAAGCCGTGATCCAAATGCAGGTGCTCAGGACGTGATGGAGACAGAGAAGTAGAGGAAGATAGAGGGACAGATGGAGGGACAGAGGGGGAGGGAGGAAAGGGGGGAGAGAGATGGAGGGAGGAGAGAGGGAGAAGAGAAAGAGTGGGAAGGGGAAGGGGGGAGAGAGAGGAGGGAAGAGAGAGAGAAGGAGGGAGGGAGGGAGAAAAGGGGAGGGAGAGACAGAAGAGAAAAGGGGAGGAACAGGGATAGAGATAAAGGGAGGGTGGAGGGAGAGAGAGAAGGAGAAAGAGGAGTGAAGAGATAGAGGGGGAGAGAGAAGGGGAGGGAGAGACAGAGAAAGAGA